GCTTTGCGCTGCCCTAAAATACCACAGATTGGGGCAGGGGGGCGTTAAACAACAGAAATTTATTTTCTCACAGTTCTGGAGGCTGTGATGTCCAAGGTCACGGATCAAGGGGCCACCTGGTGGGAGCCCACTTCCTGGCTTGCACACAGCCACCTTCTTGCTCCTCAGAGAGAATGCTGGTGTCTCTTATTTATAAATACTTCAACCCACTCTTTTTAGAAAATTACTCTTTAAATATTTTATTGAGTTTAGAGAGGAATGAGAGAGAGAGAGAGAGAGAGAGAGAGAGAGAGAAACATTAATGTGAGAGAGAAACATTGATCAATGGCCTCCCGTACACACCCCTACTAGGGATGGAGCCCACAACCCATGCATGTGCCCTGACCGGCATTTGAACCGGCAACCTTACACTGGATGACGTTCAACCAACTGATCCACATTGGCCAGAGCTTTCTTTTTTAAATTATTGATTTGAGGAAGAGAGAGAAACATTGATTTGTTGTTCCACTCAGCTCCAGGGAGAACCATGCATTTCTTGCCTTGGTCTACAGGTCTAAGGATGGGCGCCTCCTGCTCACAGCCGGCTCAGCTGTATGCGCCGTCCTGCACTAGACCTTGTAGAACAAGAACTTATTCCAACTTGCTCTGTATTGTCTCTTGATTACCCTTTCTCTTGCTCTTCTTGAGGAGTAAATATTTAAATTGTAGATTTTCCTTTTCCGCTACAGCAAAACATACACAATTCATTTACAATGTCTGAGCTCTGCAAATCCCCCACTCCTGGGCGCTGCCTTGTCTTTGGTTTTAAAATCTGGTTCAGAAAATGGCTCTGCTCAGCTTCTGTTTGGGCTTTAGCGGCAGCAGGGTCTTTCCAAACAGCATAACTAAGGATTTGGAGAAGAGTCATTACTCTCTCCCAAGCAGCGACTGATTTCAGCACGGGCTGCTGGCTTCCAGTGAGAAATAAAAGCATGCACAGATCCACCTAAAAAGCGGGGAGATAATGAAAGTAACAAATTCCCTGGATCTAAACATCTCACTTGCAAGTTACAAAGGGGCTGGAAAGAGGGGAGGATTGATTTGCATGTGGCTCCAGGAAGCAACCACCAGCCAAGGTAGAAGCCCTCAGGGAAGCCTCAGGGATTCGCTGCAGGGGACAAGGATCTTATTGGTAAATCTGAAGACTCAATAGCCAAGATTTGGGAGATTAGAAGTCAATGGTTATAAAGATTACAGAAAACACAGTGGGCATGTGTTGTTGTTGTTTTTAAACTGCGTTCCTGTCGGAATAATGGCAAGATTATTAAATCCGGAGCATCAACCAGTGGACATCTGTCCAGCATCGCCCCTCCCCTGGACGCTGAGGCCAGATAATTAGATTCTCTCCCCTCGTTCCAGTGTATCTTTCATCAGAAAGCCGCGTGACCCATCCTGTCAGCGAAACCCACAAAGATGGCTGCGAAGTAAGTGACCAGACACTGCCGGTCTCCCCAGACCAAGGGAATGATACAGTTCAGCTGCTGGGCTGATTTTTGTTTAATGCCAAGTCTGCAGCTCGGCTGTCAGACCAGTGAAGTGAAAAGAAAATTAGGGGCCAAATGCCGAAACCCTCAAGAAATGTCACGAAGAAGAAGCAGAAACAAGTAAAAAGGTTTTCCTTATTATTATTTTTTTTAATGTTTAAATATATGGATTTTGTTATCAGTACACCGAAAATGGAATCAGCGACCCGTGGGACCAAATGCTTACGTTTAAGAAATGCCTTGAACTTTAAATAAACACCATTTTCTTCTCTTTCGGATTAATTTACTTGCAGATGTGTGACATGGCTTGGGAATATACACCCGGCTGAAACATACAGACAAGAGCAGGGCAGAACCTAATTTTCTTACTGTTCAGCCTTTCTTGAACAGACAACATAGCTTTCAAAAGAAACATTAACTTCTCTTTTTTATCCTCTTCAGGGACAAACAGAATGAATTGAAGGCAGAATTTAGAGTTTTCTCCAGTGACCACAAAATAGTATTTTAAAATCTTTTCGAGTTTTGGCTTTGCTGCCGTTTTGATGGTTTTTTCTATCCCTTGGCAGGCCTGTGCCTTTCTACATAGCCCAGTCCCACCGTCTCCTTAGTCCTGTTTTTATTAGCAGTAAAGATGCCTTAACTAGTGATGCATCTATAAGGAACTCACATCCCATCTCTGGGCCTTAGCTTTCTCTCTGTGCCCTGAGAGAGTTGTGTGGCCCTGCTATTAGTGGTCTAGTTACAGGGGTGGGCAAACTTTTTGACTCGAGGGCCACAATGGGTTCTTAAACTGGGCCGGAGGGCCGGAACAAAAGCATGGATGGAGTGTTTGTGTGAACTAATATAAATTCAAAGTAAACATCATTACATAAAAGGGTACGGTCTTTTTTTTTTAGTTTTATTCATTTCAAGCGGGCCGGATCCGGCCCACGGGCGGTACTTTGCCCACGGCTGGCCCAGAGCTTGTCTGAGTTCTGAAAGTTGCTGACCAGGCAAATGGCTGAGTTGATCAAAATTCCTAAAAGGAAATGGGGTGAGTGCAATCTGGAACGGCACAGAAAAAAGCATCGGTTCCCTTCCATCTGCAACCAGTTCCCCATTTCTCAACCACTAGTCCCTCAAACATATGGTGACATAACTTTTTTCTTGTTGTTAATCCTCACCCCAGGATACTTTTTTCCCCTTAATGACATTTTTTTTTTTAAAAATACATTTTATTGATTTTTTACAAAGGGAGAGGGATAGAGAATTAGAAACATTGATGAGAGAGAAACATCGAGCTGCCTCCTCCTGCACACTCCCCACTTGGGGATGTGCCCGCAACCAAGGTACATGCCCTTG